CCACTTCGCGTGAGAAGCACAGGCATTAGCGTCTGCCAAGTGGTCGGTCACATGCCACTCCACACTCTGCTGCAGGGCGGTCACAGCATCGGTTGTGAGCTTGAGATCATTGGCATCGTTTTGACGCGTGATCCCTCAGCATATCACAAACGCATCTTGCAAATGCCACCTTCGGGACCAGTGTGACGGGCGACGCTCTGCAGCTTCTTGATCTCATGGTTCACATTCCGGCCGTGCGTTGAGCCTTTGGTCAGCCCCCGTTTTCCCTTCGCGCTTCCTGTTGGGCGCTGTTTCATCTTGGGCGGCCCCGGCTCCGGCACCTGCTCCACCTGGTTGTCAATCTTCGCGTCTTCCTGCACAATCGTGCTGAAAAAACTTATTCGGCTCCGAAAAGTTTGTTTAACTGGCAAGCCCAGAAAACACCTTTCCTGGCCTAAGCTTCCGCCGCGCTTCCGTGACTCGAGCCCTGCGCAAACCGCCCAAAAAGAGGAACATTCTAAAAAACAAAGCAAGGGTGTTAGAACAACTCTCACATAGAAAAAGGCAGGCCTCAGCGTCAATCAGTGTGGGCCCCAACGCGGGAAAAGCCTCCTTGGTGTCCACCTCCATGTTCTCAGCGATCGTTGCGATCCATCCCACGCTGGCGCACCTGATTGCCGTGTGGCGAGCTGGAGTGCTCGCACTACCGTCCCCTTCTTCCACTGCCACATCGTTGGGCTCTCCGGAGAGCTCTCCTGCTGAGCATCCAAGTCCTTCAGCAGCTCCAAGTGCTGGCAAACGAAGGACTCCCACACGTCCTGCAAGCTGGCCCTGCTCTGCCCCGCGATGGACTCCCAAGCCCAGTCAACAAAGCGCTCGTCTGGTATTTCCATGTCATCGCGCATCCTCACGTAAGTAGCCTTGTCTATCTGAGAACGCTCTGCAGTGCCTCCGACACCACAGGAACCGCGCATTCACGGCACGTGCGGGCAGGCCCACCTCAGACACCGGCATGCCTGGCTGGACCTCCACATCGTAGAACCAAAAGGTCACCTCCGGCAAACTGGTTTTGCAAGCCAGAACGCAATCATCGCCGGCTCAAGGCGGGCGTCCTGCGCCACAGTGACCGACGTGGTGAAGCCCCCATGGCTCACCACAGTGACCCGCGGCATCTTGCACTGTGGCCCTTTCTGCAGTTTCAGCACTGTCATGGGTTTGGTTTGGCGCATTGTTGTGTTTGTCTCTGGGTTGTCTTGGCGCCTGCCTTGCCTTGCGTGGTCTTGCGCGCTCTTTCACCACTGTGCTTGAGCCGCGTGGCCACCTGTGAACGCCATTGTTGGCCAGAAGGATGCAAAAACATGGGCGCGTGCAAAAAAATGTCATCAGGGCGGAAAAAACTTTTCGGGGCCCGAAAAGTTTCATGCGGCCTTGGTCGATGAGGCCTGAAACATGGCCGTCTTGAGTTGATTGCTCACAAAAGGCTGATGCTCACTTCAGAGTTCTTGCTCACTCAGCACTGACGCTCGCTTCCGAGTTTCTTGCTCATTCAGGGCTGACGCTCGCTTCCGAGTGTGTCGAATATATATTTTTTCATGCGACCCTGGCCAAAGGCAAATGGCAGGCCTTTGTTGCCTCAAAGGCTTTGCTGGAGGGGTTGCCGAAAACAATGGAAGGAGTGCACCGCAATCCAAAGAAGGAAATGGCGACAGAAGCAACCACCCACCCCCTTCGCCCTCTTGTGAAGGGCGTGCCGCCCAACGGCCAAAGCTCTGCTAGAGCCAGCGGGGCCGAAAAGTTGTCGCTTGCCCTTAACTAACCCGGGCCATCATCCGTGACAACAGTTCCTTCTACCCACCATTGTGATAAGGGTTCCCCATGTCCGAACGTTTGCATGTCTTTGATCCATCCACCAAAGGCGGCTCTTTGCATTGCGCACCCTGTTTTTGTTCTCGTCCTACCCCTGACAAGTAGGGTCCAATTCCTTGCCAAATTGAGGAGTTTCCGGTTCAAGACAGACTGCTTTGTACTTTTGTTTGGGGCCCAATGACAACCACCCAGCCGAACATAATCCCAACCACCATGGCTCCAGGCTTTGCCAAAGCCAGTTGTTTGTTTGGGACCCAACCAAGAATCACAAACCAAAACGCTAAAGGGTCATGTGTAGAGGGTCCGCTCTCTCTCTCTCTCTCTCTCTTTCTTTCTTTCTTTCTTTCTTTCTTTCTTTCTTTCTTTCTTTCTTTCTTTCTTTCTTTCTTTCTCTCTCTCTCTCTCTCTCTGGATGGCTTCGAGCATGAGACCTTGACTTGGTTTTGGTCCATCACAAACTCCAAACAACTCTTTGGGAGTTCTTCAAAACAACTGAGGCAAGGTCCTGAAAAGCGCTTGCAGATGGTACAAAGGTGCCTCCAGAAAAACAACTTTCAGGGCTCGAAAAGATTTTTCACCAAGGTCCACTCAAGGTCCTGAAAAGTGCTTGCACGTGGTAAAAAGTGCAGGTGGTACAAGGTGCCTCCAAACCGAAAAATTACTTTCGGGGCTCAAAAAGTTTGTTTCACTCAAGGTCCTGAAAAGTGCAGTTGGTAAAAGTGCAGGTGGAAAAAGGTGCCTCCAAACCGAAAAACAACTTTCGGGGCTCGAACAGTTTGTTTCACTCAAGGTCCTGAAAAGTGCTTGCAGGTGGTAAAAAGTGCAGGTGGTAAAAGGCGCCTCCAAACCGAAAAACAACTTTCGGGGCTCGAAAAGTTTGCTTCACTCAAGGTCCTGCAAAGCGCTTGCAGGTGGTAAAAAGTGCAGGTGGTAAAAGGTGGTCCAAACCGAAAAATTACTTTCGGGGCTCAAAAAGTTTGTTTCACTCAAGGTCCTGAAAAGTGCAGTTGGTAAAAGTGCAGGTGGAAAAAGGTGCCTCCAAACCGAAAAACAACTTTCGGGGCTCGAACAGTTTGTTTCACTCAAGGTCCTGAAAAGTGCTTGCAGGTGGTAAAAAGTGCAGGTGGTAAAAGGCGCCTCCAAACCGAAAAACAACTTTCGGGGCTCGAAAAGTTGCTTCACTCAAGGTCCTGCAAAGCGCTTGCAGGTGGTAAAAAGTGCAGGTGGTAAAAGGTGGTCCAAACCGAAAAATACTTTCGGGGCTCGAACCGTTTGTTTCACTCAAGGTCCTGCAAAGTGTTTGCAGGTGGTAAAAAGTGCAGGTGGTAAAGGTGCCTCCAAACCGAAAAACAACTTTCGGGGCTCGAAAAGTTTGTTTCACTCAAGGTCCTGAAAAATGCTTGCAGGTGGTAAAACGTGCATTTCGGGGCTCGAAAAGTTTGTTTGCGCTTTCCAATCCCAAAGCCGAAAGGTGAAAGGTGTAGCCGCAACAAAACAAGCCCGGGGCTCAACATGTTGTTGTCCAAGCCCGCAAAACCAAAAACAACTTTTCGGGGCGTTCCTTGGGCTTCGAGACAAGTGCAAAGGCGCCTTCAACCACAAACAGGCACGTGGAATCGAATCCCCACAGTTCCTCGAGCTAGGATGAGAGGCGTGATCTTAACCACGTCTTGATAGTCCGGGTGGCTCTCACAAAAACTTCTTCAAAACTGAAGCGGCCTCAAAGCACGCAGCCCCAAGAGAAACTTTCGGCTCGATTTTTGTTTCCAGTCCGCGAGCTTTTTTGGGCTTCGGGGCCCTGAAAAGTGCCTGCAGGTGGCAAAAGGTGCCTCGCAACAAAAAAACGTGTCTGGGCTCGAAAAGTTTTTTTGTGCTTTCCAAGCCCGAGCGAGGCCCAAAGGTGAAAAGGCAAAGCCGCAGCAAAACAAGCCCGGGGCTCAACATGTTGTTCTCCAAGCCCGCGCGACGAAAAAGGTGAGGTGCCAAAACAAAACTTTCGGGGCTCGAAAAGTTGTTTTCCAAACGCGAGCTTTTTTGCTCAAGCTGGCCAACGCGCTGTGCGTGGAACATTGCAAAAGGTTTGCACAAGCAACCCAACGTTCAAACAGCAGTTTGAGCCTCAAAAAAGTTGTTCACTGAAAGAGCCCCTTTCCTTGTTGCTCGAAAGAACCCATTCCAGCCATCTGATCCCATTTCACGCCTAAAAGCATTACGCGGACCAAAAGCAACTTCTACCAAACAATCTGAACGAAGAACGGGTCTGACAAACAGAGCTTACGCAAAGCTTACGACGAGTGGCTCATGCATGCAGCTTACGCAGGACCTTCCGATCGCTTGCGAATCTCGCAAGAACGCTTACGACTGCAAGAGTCATTTCCAGTTTCATCTAAACTGATCTACGGAGGTTTCTTTCGCTGCTCATCTGGTTTTTTGAAAAGAACGATGGTTGAAAAGAATGGCGAATCAATCCCTAGTACGCTAAACTGGGGGGTGCTGTTTTTGATGGTACCATTTTGGGGAGGTCGTTTCAAGGGGGAGCAAAAGCAAACCACAGCCATTTTTGGGGACACCCGAAAATGGGAGTCTCTCGAACTGCTGGAACTTCTTTTAAAATTTCGTGATTGACGAAACAACCGATTTTGAGAAACACCCAAAGTCGATGCCCTTAGCTCTCAATCCTCCCATGCGACTGAAACAGCCAAACATGTCTCTTTCGCCACGCAAAACGCGCTGCTAGGCCATTCTGTTCACCGTATTTGGGGGTTAAAGTCAGAGAATGGGAATGGATGTGTTCCTTTGACCTACCACTTGGGTGACGTTCATCATAGTAAATCAATGGTGCCAGTCAGACCCTGCATTTCAGCTCCCGCCACTGAAAACCACTGCTTAGGTTCATGTAACCATGATTTACCGTGCAGGCTGTTCATCCAAATTGGGTCCATTCGTTCAGGGGGGGCAAGGAACCCCAGGGCGAGCTTGTGTTGCTGTGGACCCCTCTGCAAGAAGTGGCTAACTTGTGGGTCCGATACGTAAAAACATCCTGCCTCTTTCGACCCAAAAGATATGGCTGTGGCTCAAAATAAATGTACCAAAATGACACCTTGGTACAATTTTGAGCCACAGCCATATGCCGAATCGCCATAAAGCAAGGCTTCCTCCAAGTAGACGATGCCTTGGATGGCAAAGGGCACCGGCCACTCCGCCTCGCTGGTCTCAATGTCCCAGTGCAAATCCTTGTGAACCTCGCCGACCGCGGAACCCCGTCGGCAGAGAGATGGCTGGCTCGTCTTGTTTAGGGCACCCCCCCCCCCCAAAAAAAAAGGAAAGAAATGGGTTGCGGTTTCCCTGTTAGCTTGCCTGTAAGGTAGGACATGCGAAACCGCTCTTTCACAAACAGATTTATAAGCGACTCGCGCGCCCGCTTACACCAGCTTATACAGACAGCTTGTGCACATCTCAACAGTCTCCTAGGAGTCTCACAAGAGTTCTCAGCCACTGAAAAACCGTGCGCTTCTTCTTTTCGTAGCGCTTGGCGTTCGGATTGCAAATTGTTCACTTGGCACTCTGTGCTGTTTGTGTTTGCATTCAGCCTAACAGCACCAGCCAAGTCACACTTTTGGGATGCGAGTGACGCACGCAAGCTGATTGAGTCACATGCGCTGCTAGTGGCAGGCCTTTAAATCGTGAACGCACGTGATGGCATCTTACGCCCGCCATGTGCTGCAAAATCATAGGCACCAAACATAGCCCCCGGCTCAGTCGTCATCCCGGCCTCTCCCGGGTCTGACCACTCGGGAAACTTTGGGTTCTCCGGCGCTTTGAAATGCGCTCCTCAGATGGCAAGACGAGGCATGTCAAGTGCATGTGCGTCTCCCTTTCTTCTTTTTTTGGGTTGATGCTCAAAGGAAACCAAACGTTAAAAAAAAAAAAAAATGGGGGCCCCAAAAAAATGACACACCCGTGTAGAGTTTCTGCCCGAGCAATGGGTGAAGTTCTCTAGTGGGCCATGCCACATTTCAAAACAACTCCCTTGCCTCAAGCGAAACGGATCTCAGTCGGTGATCCAAAGAACAGTTGCTCCGCCACCTTGAGATTTGTCAGTTTTGGGATCTCCTTTGTCGCCGCCTCACCCTTTGAATCAATCACAGCTCAAGGGTCAAGATGGTCAAGACCCGAGAAACACCAGGAAAACAGAAGCCCAGAAAACCGCCCAGAACCCCCTCCCAAACAAAAACAAAAAAGCGCCTCCGAATCCAGGCCGTCCCCGCCCAAATCCACCAGTTCTCAGGTATCAAGCTGCGGTCGGTCGTCACATAGAGGGCCTCCGTGCCATACAAATCCGCGAAGATCCCGTGGATGGCCACAGTCTGCGGACGAGTCGCTCGGGTTTGGGGCTTCGAATGCCGCGGCCTCGTTTCTTGGGCTTCCGGATTTTTTGGGGACCGGAAAAACAAGAAGAAAACAGGGCTTTGCCTTTGTTGCGCTTCATTTTTGGCGCTCCTGTTTTTGGGACCGTCGGGCTGGTGTTTTTTGGGACGGCTTCCAGTTCTGGACCGGAGCAAACCCGCTTTGCCTTTTGGGAAATCAGCCCGGGTTGAAGCTCAAACGAGAAAATTGTGGGGTCCACAGATGGAGCCCAGTCGGGACTTGGCGGTTCGTTTGGAACTCCGACGAGCGCTCTCCCCAGCGGGTGAAACCCGAAGCGGGCCCCCAGCCTGGCGAATGGCCCAGAGCGTGCTGTGGTGATACATTTGCACCATGCCTCGCGACAGCTTGCTTCCCCCGGCCCGGGACAGTGGCCCGAGGCCTTGAAACTGAGACGCATCATGTCAAGCCACAAGTGCACGGACGCTCTGTCCTCGCAAGGTTTGATGCCTTTGCCCAAGAGCAAATCCATCTACCGCCGATTCTCAGACCGATGCTTGACGTGGGCGTTCCTTCCTTTTTGGGGGTTCTTTCGGTCCGAAGGGCCACAGGGACCGTGGTGCGGCCACTTGCCGTCCGGCAGCTTGTCGCAATAGATGTCCCACTTGTTTCTGTACCTCGGGGAAAACCAAGTTTGGCCGTGCACAAGAAAGCCAGAGTTGAGAAACATGTTTTTGGGCGGTGCAGTTGGTTCTAACGAAAATAATAAGAACAAAAAACGTGTTTTTTGGGGCTGGGGGAGAGGGGGGGTACGACTGGGTGCCCAGTTTGCAGCTTAAACCGCTGTGTCCTGAAGAAGACCATTGACCATCTGCACAATCACAGCCCTCTTATCCAAAGGCTATGGAGAGGTTTATACCAACAGAGAACAAGGCCGATTGCGAGCAGGTTTCTGCTTAGCGCAGGCTGGGGCAGGGGGAACATCAACCACCGGACCGGGCCAGCCAACTGCCAGCGAGCAAGGCAAGGCAAGGCAAGCAAGCAAGCAAGCCAGCACAAGCAAGCAGGCACAAGCAAGCAGGCACAAGCAAGCAGGAGGCACAAGCAAGGAAGCACAAGCAAGCAAGCACAGGCAAGCAAGAAGAAGCAAGCACGCACAAGCAAAGCAAAGCGAAGCGAGCAAGTGAGCCCTCAGAAGAGAAAAAAGAAAAGAAGAAAACCAACAACTACACACCTGCTGTAGGACCACCCTCCCCCGCCCAACACAAACCCAAGGAAAAACCACCCCCTCCCCTTTCCTCCGAGTGTCCAGGTGTCCGGGTCGCCCCGGTCGGCGCCCACAAAGGCGTAGATGGCCTCCGCCGTCTGCGCCGCCAGAGCCGCAGGAATGGCATCCGGCACCACCAGGTAACCATTGGCCTCCCAAAAAGCGTACCTGAACTGCGGAAGTTGGGGGTTGGGCCGGTTGGGCCTCTGGCTGGGCCACCAGTCAAGCGCTTTGCTTGGGGTCCCTCAAAAACCGACTTGGGTGACTTAGATTGGGGCCGGTCAGTGAAACCCTGCAATGCAGGCAGGCCGCCACTAAAACAATGGTTAAGTTCATATATGTTTGGTTTACCTGAGGATTGCCCTCCAAATTGGGTCAACCATTCTTTCGAAGCTCTCAAGAATGGCACCTCTACGCTTTGTGCGTTTGACATTTCATTCCCCACCAAGAGCGTAGGCAGCCGCCCTTGAATCCCCATAGATGCTTGGTACCTTTGGTAGCTCTGTAAGCTGGGTGTGGTTTAGTTCTGACTCAACTTCCCCCCCCTTCGAACTCCAACTTGAAGGAAACTGCCATTTGCTTAAGCCCCCTGGAAAAAATAATAATATTTCCAGTAGTGATAGATTCCCTTTAAAACCAACAGGGGAAAATATACAAAAACAAATCTCAAGCAAATGGAACAGACTTGGCACAGGTCGGCGGCTGCTCTCTTACGGCAAGCTGCTGCTCTTCAGACAGCACGCGCAAAGGCCAGCGGCGGCGCGGGAACACCACGGCATCCATGGCGACCCAAAATGCTCAGGACGGAACGCTCATTCGGATTTGATCTTTTCTGGGAGTTCCTGCTGCAAAAGAAACAACTAACCAACCAACCAACCAAACAAAAAAAATAAACAAACAAACAAACAAACAACAAAAACAACTTGTAGGCTTGATAAGCCTACCCTCTGGAAAGGAGTGACTGCCCATATGCCTTTAGCTCACGTGGGCATCTTGCGCTGTCATGTTTCCCACGACATGTCAAGGGGCATCTTGGATGCCGGCATGAAGCTTGCCCTTTGCCAACTTCGGGGCGTCCCCAAAATAGGCTGGCGCAATCCACACAGCCTTTCATAAGTTTCCGCCCTCTGCCTTTCTGGCAAGCTGAGAGCACGGCAGTCAGGTCAATCTCTGTTGGCAAGCGGTTGAACGCGGCACAAAGGGACCTGTTTGTTCATCAAAAGATCCTTTACCTGGGCTGACCACTAGGGAAACCACCCCCCAAAACAAAACAAAACTTTCACGAAACAAGGTGACCCATGATATCCAAAAACTGGGTATAAAAGGCCCAAAAATGGAATATTGATCAACCAAAACGCACCGACTTTGAACCGACAAAATTTTGGGCGTGGCTCCCGAGCATATAGGCGTCCTTTTTGGGAAAATAGATGGGTTTCCCTGGTAGCTGATTGAGCCATCCAGCTGGTTCCTTTAAGGGGATCTCCAGGGTCATTCCAACTCATTCACTGAGCAGCGAGAAAAGTCCCAAGTCTGTGCCCCCTTCAACCAAATCAACCTTCGAAAGGACGCCAACCAAATTGACGCCGTGCGTCGAGCCCCCGGCGCTTCGCTGCCCATGGCCTTCTTGGGCCGGGTGCTCAGCCTCCGCCCAACTCACGACGGCCGAGGCCAAAGCTGAAGGCCCCGCTTCACAACTTCACAAGGCAAGCGCCAAAACACAGGACGTTGATTTAAACAATTAAAAAAGATGGAAAATATGGTTGGTGTTGTTTCCAAAAAAAGAGGTATGGTTCAAGAAAGGTGTCACATTAACGGAAGAAAAAAGAGCAAACCTGCAACTCTGTCTTCTCAAGGATAGCGCAAAAAACAAAACGCCCGAGCTTCCTGGTGCGCATGAAAGTCCCGACTTGCTACAGCTGCCCCCCAGATATGGCAATGCCTCCAAGCATCGCGGTTGTAGAGTACGCTCTGCGACAGTCGAGGGGTATGATTCAAGAGTTGATGCGTTCATGATAAATTCATGTGTACACCCCAGTAATACTCCACTTCCTGCGCGATTTGCAGACAGTATTGTGACTAGTTGACGATATACGACCTGAATCAAGGACAAGCAAGGCTCTCATATATCACAATCATCATCCGACATAGTAGGACGACATAATCCAAAGAGACTAAATAGCCTGACTGACAATCGAAGAACCAGTGGTGCCGCATGATGGAAATAAGAAGAGGTGCAGCGTGTCAAGGGCCCTAAACGGGTTCTAACAACAGGTTGCAGCTTGCGCCCAAAGCTCAATGATGGGTGTCTGGCATCCTAGAACCCATTTGTTGCAATAATGTTGGGTCACCCAAACACGGGTGCCAACGACGCTCCAAGTCATGGTTGCGCAGCCCGCGCACGTTGGAAGAATCCAATCAGCGCAGCTCAAAACAGAGCCTTTCCCCGGGCAAAGGGATTTCTATGGGTCTTTTCAGGGTCGCCTGTTCTGGCCTCTCGTTCAAAGGACATCTAGCAGCCGATCGATCCAGTTTGGAGGTTGCCGAACTTTGAGACACACCCGAAAAAATTGCGAGCACGACACATCGGCCGCTTGGCTCCGGGCGCCAAAGAGAACTCAAAGCCAAAGAGCTCGTAGATGTTGAAGATGAAGGCAAGGGCTCCGGTCACCTACGAGCCAGCTCGACTTTGGCGTCCCTTATCGGAGTGCACCCCTTTTTAGTCGGTTTTGAAGGGAAACCCAAAGGAACACTATTTTGGAGGGGTCCAAATCCAAAAAAAAAGACACACGCGCATGGCTCGTCTAAGATCCACATGGATTGAGGTTTCCTTTAGGTTGCCCTAAGCTGAAAAGGGTGCCGGCCTTCAAACATACACACACAGCAACATACTCCCCGGATTCGCATGGAACCCAAAGCTGCTTCTGAGGAATCTCCTTTCGGGGACAAACCCCCCTTCGTTTTTGGGCTTTTTGCGGATACTGGTTTGGGCGCCTTGCGCGAAGGCCCAAGAAGGACGTCTTGAATCGGAATGAACGAGAACGCGCCCGCGGGCCTCTTCTACTCTTCGAGCGCAACACAGCAGTCAAAAGCCAAAGCGCTTGCTCCGGCCTCTTGCTTGATTTGGTCCTCTCTGCAGAAGATGTGCGCGTCATCCTGCTGGAAACGGCGCCTCAGCGACTCGTGCCCAAAACCCCCGGAGAAAAATCGGAATGCTTCACAGCACATCCACGTCTCATCCGCCAGTCGATCCAATTCACACATCGTCTTGCGCAAGCGGGGCGATCAATCAGAACCCATTTTTGTTTTCGGAACCTGTCCGGAGCGCATATTTGACAACGACGTCTCGAACCATTTTGTTTGAGGGGGTTTACGATCGCCCCAGGTTGACACCTTCTGCGGCAGGGCTTCCCCGCGGCTCGCTCCGCTCACGGCGAAATCTGGATTCCGAGACCCCGGCACCCGCGTGAGGCCAGAGAGTGTGCCACTCAGCTCGTTGCGGTGCAACACGCCGAAGTCGGCCATCCTCGGAGGAGCCGGGAAGACGAGGGAAGCGACGCCACTGGGCTGTCCGATCCCCTAGTAAAGGTTGACAACTTGTGGGTGACATGCTGAAACCCCAACTAAGCCAACTAAAACAACTGGAAATCTAAAGAACCCAAGTCCAATCTTTGCGAAGCTCGAAAGCAGTTCCATCAGGCAAACTCGAGTTTCAGCCACGCGCTGCGATCGCGCTCCGTTCTCGCGTGGCGACTTTCTGCATGCCTGAGATCTTGGCCTTAATGGCAACTCTCGATAGGACCGCGGCCTGCAGCTTCTGCCCGGGCAGTCTGATGAACCGCGGCTACAAGTATCCTCTGAACAGTGCAGAACGACTTCTAATAGGATAGAACCAATGCATGTGTCCAGATAGGGCACCCCTAAACTAGGGCATCCCCTCCCCCCAAAACAAAAAAAAATGGTTTCTGTGGGTGATCACTTCAAACCACCCCCTGTTGGGGGGGAGCTCCAAGGCTGGGCAACAAAGCAAGCCACAAGCACAACTATCGCAACCGACCAACCAATCAAGCAACCAACCAACTGGCCAACACATCCACGAGGCTGGTTGGAGGAGAACGCACAAACAACACGATCAACTAAGCAACGCGTCTCTGCGGACAATCGCAAAGGGCTTGGATGCATGAGTGCCGCACCTACTGCAAATATGCCAAAGTCAGTGACATCGAGCCCGCCTGCTGTCGAACATGACGCAGTGCCTTGGAGCAGAACGGCCGAGCCTGAAAATCATCACAAGTACGATAGTGCCCGTATGCGCATTGCCTCCCTGACAAGATCCTGGAAGACGTGCCATGTTTGTTGGTGGGAGGCTACTCGTTCAACTGCAGGGACTCCACTCCATCCTGGTGTCTTCTTTGGAGGCTCAAAAACCCAATTTGGCTGGGCTAGGGAAACCAAATGCAAACCCATCGCGGCAGTCTGGGCTCACTTCCTGAGTGGATGACCCCAAAAAAGTCCAAACCTTTTTGGATGCCACTAACACCGATCTTCCCAACAAGTATGAAGCCCATGAACCCAAGAAGTGGGAGACAACCTCGGGCTCTAATTCCGATCCGCCGCTTTTGGAAAGTCTTGCTCCGCTGCTCTGAGGCACCGGCCCAGGGCAGTTCATGGGCTTGAGGAACCTCAGAAGCCCCGACAGCGCGGCTGGCCGAAAGTGGAGAAAAATGGCTTGGTCATAAACCCCAGGATGGATAAAAGGAGTCGCCATCCTAACCAGATGAAGAACTCTCAGGGCAACTTTTCCTGCCAACCACCGAAAACCTTCGGAGTTCCAAGGGGGTCTGCATCGACAGCCATTGTCCCGATTGAGCAGCCCACCACTCCTGGCCCTCCACTTTGAAGCCGTACATGTCCTCACCTCCGGGCGATCTAAGGGATGGGCAACACTGGACACATCTGCCCCATGGTCATTTTTTGGCGTCGGTTTATGTACAGAAGCACCCATTTTGGAGATTCCCCAATTTAGAGACACCCCCCCCCCCGGGCAATGCTTGAACTTCGCTGAGCTGAGCTCCGCGAAAACGCCAAGCCGCTGGCGGTAGTTCTGCAAGTGGCCTGAGCCTCAGCCCGGAGTCCCCCAATCTCGAGCCGCCACTCTCGTCTGCTGCCAGAACCCGGCAAAGCGTGTGCTCTTTTTGAGTTGGCGCCCCTGTTTTTTGTTTAAAAACGGAGGGGCCAAACGAAACTAGAAAACCATTTTTGGGGGAAGCTCTATTTTAAGACACACCCAAACAGCCATCTCAGCCGTGAAAAAAAAACAATCGACGCCCACAGAATCCCCAACTGAGTTGTGTCTCACTCACCTTCCCGAATTCTTGGGACTTTATCTACTTTCTGTTTTGGGAAGACAGCCAAAAAGCGGTGAGCCAAATGCTTGGGGCTTGGCCAACCCACGAAGGCGCGTGCTTACTGGGCAGTCGACGCTTGAAGAGCTCCGCGGAGAAGATGTTGGGAGTCACCACCTCCTCAAACCCTCTGGCGCGGTACCTAAGCCAAACGCCCCGGATCCGCAAGTGAGTCACTCAATTGACGCGGTGATTTTGAGGGTAGTGACCGGGTAGTGATCGCCTTACAAGGCTGGCTTAAGGGAATCTACAAGGAAAACCGCATCCATTTTGGGCCCCTCTGTTTTGGCACATGCCGAAAACAGTTGTTGCCAAAATCAAAACATTGTATTTTAAACTGTCCTACCATTCTACCATGTAAGGAACTAAAATGGCGGCTGC